AATTTAGGTCAGACGAGCCAAAAGAGACAAAGTCACAGTTCCATATTGTTGACGCTACTTGGACTTGGGCCTTCCTTATTTAGCAGCATTTAATCAGATTTAATTTCCTATCAATCTCCTAGAATCATGGCAGATCTGATTTTGTTTTTTGAATTTTGAATTTGCGGATTTTCCTGATTCTCCTTTGATTATATAATTATGGACTGATCCTATAATCTTCTGATAACCTGAGATTATTCCTATAAATAGTGTACATTGTCATTCGAATAAAGCAATCTTTTCTGGCATCAAGTTGTCCATGGTATCAAAGCAGCAATTATCCGATTCGGCTTTGGGCTGGATGGGGAAGGCCAGGGGGTTTCAACCTCATTGGCACACAACTCCACCGCGTCGTTGATGAACCCAGCTGTGAACCACCAAGTGCCAAATGATGCCAGCATGTCTCAGATCACTATCCATCGTTTGAATGGACAAAATTACCTCCAGTGGGCGGCCGGTGTCCAACTATATGCCACCAAAAAAGGGAAATTCGGATACCTAAATAGAGCAACAAGAAAACCAGACCCCACAGATGCAAAATACAGCATGTGGGAAGCAAAGGACTCCATGATACAATCATGGGCAACTCAATGACCACAGAGATCAATACGAGTTTTACCTTGTGCAAATCTGCTCAGGAAGTATGGGAGGCAGCTCGTGACATGTTTGCTTCTCTAAACAATCATGCAGCCATTTTGGAAATAGTCTCAACTAGACCTACTCAAACCAGGCACCTTTAATATTACTGAGTATTGGACTAATCTAGTTACTTTGTGACAACAACTAGATCAATACGACACCTATGAGTAGTCGTGAGTAGTCGTGTACAGCTGATGCTCGTTTGCATGCCAAGATCAAAGAGGAGAAAAGGATATATAAATTCTTTCTTAGACTGCACCCTTCCTATGACGAAATTTGAGAGAGGATAATGAACCAGGAAAAACCACCAAGCCTTCATGAAGTGTATTTCAAGGTAAAACAAGAAAGTCAAAAGAAGCTCAATGCTCCAAGGAAATCAAGTGGAGCAGAACCTAAAGCAAATGCCTTAATGGCTAAGGGCAAAAAGAATGGCAAATGGTGTGACCATTGCCAAAAATCAGGACATACTCAAAATGTGTGTTGGAAGCTACATAGAAAACCATGCAACCAAAAAGGAAAGGGTAAACCCGAGGCAAGGGCCCATACAGTTGCGAAGACAGATTCAAAAGATCTTGGCAGCAACCTAAACAAGGAGGAACTAGAATTCCTTCGAAAATTACTACAGAAACATGACAACAAAGAGAAGCTGATAGCCACAGGTAATATAGCTTACACAGGTAATGCAGTCCTAGCCCTTAATACTGGGGTTCATCATAATCAAATATGGATAGTTGACTCTAGGGCCACTAATCACATGACCGTTAACGTTAATCTTCTTCAAAATGTTAAAGCATGTAAAACGCTTATGTTCATAAAGTTTATGGAATTGATGAGGTTTGCTTATTTGGTGATGTGATACTGAGAATGTGTTATATGTTCCTGATCTAAAGTGCAACTTAATTTCTGTTAGTAAAGCTACTCTGTCCTAGTGCTATGATCATAGGGGCTTTATATTGTGGATCATCATCAAAGCAAAGAGACTCAAGGTGTGACTTTTGCTACAAAAAGGAACTCCATCAAGCAACTCTCGAATAAAGAAGCTGTTTTATAGCATTATAGGTTAGGCCATCTAAGTCCTAATTATATGTCCAGAATGTTTCCAAATTTTATGAATAAAAATGCTTTTTCCATTCCTTGTGAAGTATGTCAACTGTCCAAACATACATAAAGCAATTACAAAGCCCATCCTCATCAATTTTCTCACCCTTTTTCCCTTGTGCATAGTGACATTTGGGGGCCAGCTTGTGTTTCAACCTTAGCAAATGCAAAATGGTTTCAACACAAATTGATAATCACACACAGGTTACTTGGGTGTTTCTCATGAGAGAAAAATCAGAGCTTACTCAAATTACCATGAACTTCCACAGATTGTGAATCAATTTAACACATCAATAAAAGTTCTGCACAGTGATAATGGGAGGGAATTATGAACTCAAATCTTCAAGCCTGCCTCAAAAAACATGGGATTATACACCAAACAGCTTGTGTAAATACACCCCAACAAAATGGGACAACTGAAAGAAAACATCGCCACCTTCTTAAAGTGACCCGAGCCATTATGATAACCAATAACGTGCCCAAATTTTACTCGAGAGAAGCACTCTTGACTGCCACACATCTCATAAATCGCCCACCATCCAAAACACTCAACTTTCACAATCCAATCCAAGTTCTATCTAAAAACTACCCAAACTCGCATCTACTCACTCACATTCCTGAAAAAGTGTTTAGGTGCATAGCATATGTTCACAATGATCATGGTAGCAAACTGACCCTCATGACATTACATGCATATTCTTTGACTATTCCTCCACCCAAAAAAGGTACAAATGTTACTTTCCTAGCTTTAATAAGTTCTCTGTCACAATGAATGTTACCTTTAAAGAAACTCAACCCTACTATACCAAAACACCCATTCAAGAGGAGGGTGAAGGGGAATGGGAGTTTTTGCTTCCTAAAAATGAACTTCAAACTCCTCGAAACTTGACCACATCTACACCTGAACCCCAAACTACCATAAATCCACCTCAAGCCGAGCCTTTCCAACCCATTCCAATAAACCCAGACTTGAATTCAAACCTGGACAGAATTGAAAAGCCTAGTAATGCCATAAATGAGGAATCTGGTACAATGGACCCTAATGATCCAGAATTCAAAAGTGAAGAAGCGATTCCAGAATCTACAGAAAGCACAGAGAGTGAAGTCGAGACAAATCAGCACAATAAAGTGTCCTCTAGTTTCGAGCAACACCAAGACTCAACTTCAACTCCTAGTCCTGATAATCTTGGATGGCCTATTGTCTTAAGAAAAAAGGTAAGATCCTGTACTAGACATCCTATCAGTAACTTTGTTTCATATGACCAGTTGTCATCCTCCATTCCTAGCTTTGTTACAAGGTTAGCAAATGAACACATATTGGCTACTTACCAAGAAGCCATAAGGGATCTGAATTGGAGAGGGGCCATAGAAGAAGAATTGAGGGCTTTGAAGAGGGAATAACCAATCTCTCCTATATCAGGTCACACAATCAGATTGCAAACATCATGATAAAACCATTGGCCAAGGTACAGTTTGAAGGATTACGAAGCAAGCTGGGAATGCTAGATATATTCTCCAGCTCGAGGGGGAGTGTTAGAAAATCACAAGGTATAGGCTGTCACATATGACCGTTGGTCATTAAGTGGAAATCAGATTTCTTTCCTATTATAGTATCCAAGATTCTCACCACCCTCTGTGCGATTTCATTAGAATTTATGGCAGGAATATTTTCTTTAATTTTGATTGATTGTAATTAGATTACATGAAGTGTTCGTCACCTATATATACTTGTATCGATTCCCATAAAGTAATATACATGAATTATTCAATGAATTACAAGATTCTTGTTTTTTGAATTTTGAATTTGCTAATTTTCCTAATTCTCCTCTAATTATGTAATTATCGACTGATCCTAGAATCTTCTAATAACCTAGGATTATTCTTATAAGTATCATACACTGTCATTTCAAATAAAGCAATCTTTTCTGGCATTAAATTGTTCACGTATCATCCAAAACAAGGAGAGAAGGCATTGCAACTTCAAATAGATCATTAATACTCCTCCACTACCTGCCAGGGTACTTGGGCACTCATCAGGTCTGTGTTCTGAGGTCTATTTCTCAACTAGTTAGCCTGTATTTTAGTTTATTTCACAATTTGTCTAGTTTTGATTGGTTTTAATGTTTTTTACCAGTTTTCTTTTTGTCCAGTTTTAATAGTTAAATGGACCAAACTAACGGAGATCAGGATCCTCCTGTCACCTCTTTTTCTTCTCCTCATCCCATTCCCACCATTGGATTGAAAATGAACAGTTGATACTCAGTATTTTGCAAAACCATTGTTTTTCTATTTTTAGGTAGTCTATAGCTGTGAATTGTCCAAATCAAATTCTAATAGTATTTTTTATTTTTTACATAGTGCTTTAATATAATTTTATAAGATATTAAGTCTCAACTATTCAATTTTTATTCTCAAAGAAGGAGATGAGATGAGAAGAAAAGGAGAGCAAAAGACGAGGATGAGATCCAGATCCAACTAGCAGCTAATTCACCGACTCTTTAGTTAAACCAACCATGACAGCCTTTATAACTATATACATCCGTTTCCTCTTTTCATTTCACTCTTTCTAAACATGTCAACACTATTATCCACCCACAAGCATGGAATCACTCCCCCAAATAATTCCTTAGAACGGTAATGTAAAAAGGAAAAGATTATTCCCCCCTCTGGATAGGATATTTACTCTTCTGATATAAGGTCTGAGGACGGATATAAAAATCCTTTTCTATGGATCCTTAATATCATCTGTGCCATTTACTCTATCACAGAAATTTGTCTCTTGGAGCCATGCACCTTGGGCCATGGCCTCTTAGAGAGACTAATACTACCTATTAAAATATGTGATGTAGTCCTTCTAGTCACATGTACTGTTCAGAACAGTGAAATTTGACAAGAATTCCTCTATGTATATTTAAAATCACTAAACAAAATAACTACCAAGACTTGCATCCAGGTTGGAGCACTTTCCAAATGATTTGGGCTTCACCTCAGATATGTCTTTCATTTGCTGTTGTCCACTAGTGTGTTATGGTTTTACAATGTTTATTCAGGCTCCAGTTTGATACGTATGAAGGAGCCCAAAATGTTATGTCTATCTATGCGTGTCTGTTTGTTGTGTCACTAATGTATGCTGTTTCTTTATTTTAATAATGTATTTGACTTTTTCAATATATATTAAAAAAAAAGACACTAACAAGACCAATGAGGAAGGAACAAAATCTTACCATTTGGGCAACATATATATTTAGTCCATGAACTGAAATATGGAAATTTCCAGCAACCCTCTGGACATCTAAAACACCATAAACCTACAAAAGAAACACATTAAAACTCAGTCTTTCCCATTCAAAAGGTAGACATGGTCCATGACATGATAAGTGGAATTCTTACCCGACATCCTTCCCCATTTGCTATTGCTTCCTTCACCTTCTTGACTGTATTTTCAGTGGATTCATCAAAGCCTTGTAGATGAATCTTATTTTCTGAACCCTCATGATGATCTTTTCCATGATCTGTTTCAAATGTGAAATTTATATACGTTATTATACATGATAAAACTATGGTATCATTCTTTTAACATGCTACTTCATACTAAGAACAATAGCAAAGACCTAAAATATGGAATTATTCTTGGATGTCTATTCCTTCCAGCCATAAAACTAGTCATTTGCAATAGATTCCCAGAATAGGTATCATAGTTGTGATTTTATTGATGATTCATCCAGCCAGAGAACCTGCAGCCTACCCTTTAATCTCTCTCCTTCTGAACAAACTACAAGCTATTCATAATTGCACCAGACATTGAGGACAGAGGACAAAGTTGAGTAGAAGTTCATTAAACAGAGATTTAATCAGTTAAATTAATGTACCACTTTCAACATTCCCATTACAAGTTGGACAAAAGATGGGTTGCCACAGAGAAGTGTGCTTGAAAACCTCGACAATCATCATCACTTAGTTTAAAAGTGAAGCTATTCAGTAAAATTCATCTCTTATTCATTCATTCACATATACGGTACAATGTATATATACAGCAGAAGAGTATCTAGGAAATATGGAGAGATTACACAGAGAGAGATATTCAGGATAGAAAGAGAAAATAGGAATGATTCAAATCTACTCTAATCCCCTAAAATCTGTCTATTAATAATTAATAATTATTTTTATATTAACCACATTCCCCCTCAAGTTGGATCATAGATGCTAATCATGTCCAACTTGCTCATGAAATTTTCAAATATGTCTTCCGGTAGCCCTTTGATGAGAGAATATTTGCTAGTTGCTGTTTTGAGAGTACGTAGGATAGGCATATAATTCCATCCTCCACTTTCTCTCGAATGAAATACCAGTCAACATCAACATGTTTGGTTCTGCTGTGGTGTACTAGATTTAAAGCCATGTTTAGGGTAGCTTTGTTGTCACAGAACAGTTTTAGTGGTCCACTGATCTATAAATGAGCTTCTGCAACTACTCTCTCCAGCCACAAACCCTCCATGATACCTTGTGCTAAGGCTCTTAACTCAGATTCTGCACTGCTTTTGGAGCAACTTTTTGTTTTTGACTTTGCCGTGTTACAAGATTGCCCCATATAAACGTACAATACGCAGATGTTAATCTGCTATCTTCTCGAGCTCCTGCCCAATCAGCATCAGTGTAAATTTCCACTGTTCTAGAGTCACTTTTCTTAAAGAACAGTCCTCCCCCAGGTGTTTCTTTTAAGTATCTTAAGATCCTGTAGGCTGCATCCATATGTTTTTTCTTGGGTGAATGCATGTGCTGGCTAGCCACTCTTACTAGAAAAGCTATGTTTGGCCTTGTATGTGATAAGTAAATTAACTTTCCAACCAACCTTTGGTATCTTCTAGTATCTACTAGTTCCTCATCTTTCCTTTGCTTCTGTTTTTCTTCTTCAGTCATGATTTTCTTCTTGTTTTGGCTCTTCTTGGTACTTATAGGAGTTTTACTTGGTCGACATCCAAGCATACTAGTTTCCTCAAGTAGATCCAGAATATGCTACCTTTGAGAGACATAAATTCCTTTCTGTGACCTTGCAACTTCCATTCCAAGGAAGTATTTTAGATTGCCTAGATCCTTGACCTCAAATTCTTGGTTTAGAGCACCTTTTATTCTATCCATTTCTTTTATATCATCTCCAGTAAGAATGATGTCATCCACGTAGACAATGAGGATTGTTGTCAACATCCCATTCTTTTTGACAAACATTGTATGATCAGATAGACTTTGCTTATAGCCTTCTACTCTTAGAACCTTGGAGAATCTATCGAACCATGCTCTTGGTGATTGTTTCAGACCGTATAGAGATTTTTTTAATTTACATACCTGGTTTCTTCTTCCCTTGTCAAAACCTGGAGGTAAAGTCATGTATACTTCTTCTTTTAATTCCCCATTTAGAAATGCATTTTTGATGTCTAACTGTTGCAGTGACCAATCCAGATTAGCTACAATAGACAGTAATACTCTGATGGTATTTAGTTTTGCTACCAAGTCAAACGTTTCATTGTATTCTATTCCATGGGTTTGAGTGAAACCCTTTGCTACCAGACGCGCTTTGAACTTGTTTAGTGAGCCATTTGCATTATACTTTGGGGTAAATACCTATTTGCATCCCACCATTTTCTTTCCCTTTGGTAAGTCAACTATTTCCCAGGTTCCATTCTTTTCCAATGCCACCATTTCTTCAATTATTGCTTTCCTCCATTCTGGATGTTCAAGTGCTTCATATACGTTGTTAGGTACATTGATCCTGTCAAGCTCAGTCACAAAAGCACGATAATGTTTTGATAGTGTGGTATAGGACACACTCTTTTGAATAAGATGTGAGGTGCAAGAGCGTGCCTTCTTTCTCAAGCAATGGGCAGATCATCTTCAATCCTCAACTCAGTCTCTCTAGAATCTTTCACCGGTTCTGATTCTGGCACTGCCATGGGCATGTTAGTCTCTATTATCTCTTTATTTTTTCGAGAGTAGACCTTGTTGTACTTATTTTTGGTTGTGTCTCCCCCTGCCTTAGGCATTTGGTTAGGGTCAAGTGAAGGAGTCAAAGAAGGGATAGCTTCAGGTGATGGTACAGACTCAACAAGCGGAGGTACAGACTCAACGAGCGAGGTATTGGTTCAGGCATATTTTTCTTAGGCTGATATTCACTCCAACTCTCCCCCTGAATTGAAGGCTTAGGAAAATAAGGTTTGTGTTAAGAGAAAGTGACATCGTGATTGACAAAGGAAGCTTGGAAACTGGATCAAAGCATTTTTACCCTTTCTGAGTCGAAGAATAGCCAAGAAAGATACATTTAACAGCACGAGGATCAAATTTGGATTGGGTATGATGGAGACGGACAAAGACTGAGCAACTGAAGACACGAAGCGGAAGGGAATGATCAAGATGTGAGAGTATGAGTTTCACGGAGTTTGTCTAAAGGAGAGACATAGGAAAGAGCTCGGCAGGGCATACAATTGACGAGATGGGTAGCTGTGAGAATGACATCACCCCAAAAGAATTTGGGTACATTACATGTGAAGAGAAGAGCTCGAGCAACCTCAAGTAGATGGCGATTTTGGCGTTCCGCGATACCATTTTGTTAGGGTGTATTCGGGCAAGAGCTATGGTGAACAATCTCGTTGGATTTCAGAAAATGGTGTAGGTAATAGTTGAAATACTCAGTATAGTTGTCAGAGTACAAGACTTGAATAGAGGAATTAAACTGATTTTTGATGAGGTTGTGAAAATCCATGAATAGATGAAACATCATATTTGTCCTTCAGTAAGTAGACCCAAGACATACGGGTATGGTCGTCAATGAACGTAACAAACCATTTAGCAAATTCACAAGAGTCACAAGAGGAAAAGAATTTTTATTAATGCTTAATTGAGGAAACAAGCGTTGCAAATAGGAAAAACAAGGATGACCCATCCTTTTATGCCATAAGGAAATATCATTATCAGAAGAGGAGACAAAACCATGCATGCGGGAACACAATGCTCGTATGGTAGAAATGTCCAGATAATAGAGACCTTCATGCTCTTTAACTGTGCCAATCATCTTCCCCGAGGAGAGATCCTAAAATAGACAATAAGTGGGAAAGAAATAAGCACCACAATTCGCATGTTTAGTCAACTTGCTAATAGATAAAAGATTACAAGCCAGATGTGGGACATGCAGGACAGATTCAAGTTTTAGAGAATCAGAAATATGAACCGTGCCCTTCCCGATAACAGTAGAGCCAGTGCCATTAGCTGTTGTGATCTTCTCATGACCAACACAAGGGAAATAAGTGACAAACATACGGGCATCAGAAGTCATATGATCAGTAGCGCCCGTGTCAACAATCTACTTGGTAGAAGGAAACGAAGAATGAAGAGCAAACGGACCATTACCTTTACTGGCAACAGAGGCAGAAGCAACAGGAGAAGCAACCTGTGGCTGGGGTTGAAGACCCTTTAGTAAGTCAAGTAATTGAGTGAACTGGGCATTGAGAGCAACGGGAGAAGAATCAGTGGAAGCCGTAGGTGGCTCACGGGAGACATGATAACCACAAGGTTTCCCTTTACGAGACTTCCAATCAACAGGCTTGCTGTGAAGATCCCAGCAACGATCACGTGTGTGACCAAATTTCTTACAATGATCACAAACGACCTTAGGCTTGGTGGATGGAGGTGCCAAACCGGTTGCCTTACTAACCAAGGCAGAGGAGTCAGAGAGGGAAGAAATAGGTTCAGGTAACATTACTTGATGACGAGAGGCTTCCTTGCGAACCTCGGAGAAGGCTTCACGCGTAGACAACAAGGATTGACTGCTCAAGATACGGCTACGAACATCATCGAATTCTGAGTTGAGACCCGCGAGGAATTGAAATACCCGCTCCTTCTTGACATTTTGTCAATAATGTGCCGCATCAGCAGAGGAAGACCATTCCTCAATAGCGAGTAAATCCAGTTCTTGCCACACAGCCACAAGCTCAAGCCAATACTCGGTAACATTCCAAATGCCTTGTTTAAGATTCCAAGTCCTGGTTTTGAGGGCATACATACGGGAGAGATCTTCACCATCAGAGTATGAATCTCTCACAGCATCCCAAATGTCTTAGCTGACGGCAGGTACATGAAGCTCTGTTTGAGGTAGGAAGACATGGCATTGATCAACCATGAGGATACCACAGAGTTTTCGGTGACCCACTTGGTCATATCGGGAGACGCAGGGTCAGACGGAGGTTTTGACTCACCTGTGATATAACCCAGCTTTCCATAACCTCCGATGGCTAAGCATACCGCCTGCGCCTATTCACGGTAGTTGCTGTCCGTGAGTTTTTTCCGAGACGATCACCATAGGAGATGAGTCGCCATTAGTAGTCAATCCAGAATGATGCTCGACACAGGGTGAGTCTGACGTGGAGGAAGACTTGGGGGAATCCATCAACCTAGACGTGGCCGATTACAGGGAACAGCCGAACAGGGGAGACGAATGAGAATGACGTGGCCAAAACCAGTGGGGCTCTGATACCATGAAGCTATTCAGTGAAATTCATCTCTTATTCATTCATTCACGTATACGGTACAGTGTATATATACAGCAGAAGAGTATCTAGGAAATACGGAGAGATTACACAGAGATATTCGGGATAGGAGGAGATAATAGGAATGATTCAAATCTACTCTAATCCCCTAAAATCTGTCTATTAATAATTAATAATTATTTTTATATTAACCACAAAAAGTTCAGAGCTCCAACCACTTATCCGAGGGAGCTTCCACTTCCTTCTCTGCTATAGCTCTGATTTCATTATCCGACAAATTATTCTGTCAACTTAAATACCTTTTGGCCCAAAAATTTCTTCGAGTTCTTCAAAACCCTATGAACAGTCCAAGAGAGATGATGAAAGTCCAACATTATTCTTCCCCATAAACCATCACTCTGCTGTGTGTGGATGCACAACCACCAATTTCATCCGTGACCTTGATAACACGTTTTGAGATGCTGGATGTAACATCCCAAACACTTACTTGTAAAAATGATTGGGAAGATTCGGGGAAATAAAAAAAAAATCAAAATTTGAAAAAATATTAAGGACTGAACTGAATATACGTAGGGATCAAGTAGCAACAAATACTACAATTTTGGAGACAGCAATAAAGCAAGCTGAGAGGAATATTGAACGAAAGTCATTAAATAAAATATATAAAGTCAAAAGTACCCCAGAGCATTAAAATAGATAAATAAGGCCAAAGAGATTCATAAAATATTAAATTGCCTATACTTATCTATATCCACTCCCAACCCTAGCCTTTTACACCTAAAAGATAGAAGAGAGGAAGCAGCAATAACATTACTAGGAGAAGGGGGAAGAAAATACTGCAGATCTGAGTAAGTTTTCTATATCATTAGCTTTTTGCCAAGATATCAAGACGTCATTTCTTTACTAAGATTTGTAAGAGGATCTGATTTGCATATTAAAAATCCAATGTTTGAGACAATTCTTCATGATTTAAGTTATTGGTTGGGAGAAAGCAACCCAATTGAACAAAAGAAATGAGTCTCCTATTCATTCCCATGCAAGTTTTATTACCAAGAATCTCAAGAACATCACCCTTCGTTATCAATCATGACCAGATAAATCTGGCTCATATTCTAGCTAATTATGGAATTCTTGCAAACTAAACTGATAGGAGAATGAATAGAGGACTCACGACTTTTGTTTAATTAGTTTGTTTTCTGTGGGAAAGTGGGCCTGCTGCCAAAAAGCCCACAAATCAGTTTTAACCTAATCTCCTAGAATTAAATAGGTGTATCTTTTGTAACGGTCAGATTATGACAAAATCTGACTCTTATCATTATTTCCTTATCTTTAGGAGGAATTTAGGGGATGTGATCAGATTTACATTAATTATGTTTATTCTCTTTATCCTATATCTCATGTAAACCCTCACTCAGTGAAATCCTATATATCACGTAAACCCTTGTTCAAACTTCAGTGAAATATATAGCGTACTATTCAGAAAATTACAATTTCTCTCCATCAATACCTTCAATTCCAATGACTTACCTTAAGCCATGGATTTTAATATGGAAATCAGATCATCTTGTAAAATGCTAACAGTATAGAAAATTATCTCAAATCCTTAGTATTTTCTTCTTCTCTTCCTTCTGGTAACACTACTGCTACTTCCTCTCTTCTTTCTTCTAAGTGACAAAGAAAATTTTGGGTTACAAAATGGCCAAATCTTGCTTTCTAAAAGGATCAATACATCACAAATATTTAAATATAGAAACTTATAGGCAATTTTAATTTTTTGACAATCTCATCTTTGCAACAATCCAAGGTATTTCGACCTTATCTTCATCATCAAAGTGATGGTCCAACATCTGAACCATGGACACAGATCCAATTACGAATGTTTAACCATGGAAACAAACTTTGCCAATGTTGTGACCATCTTCAAATAATGAATTCGTTTCACTAGTCCCCTCAATTTTTTGTCATTACCCTAAAGCTCCAAAATTTTAAAATTCTTTGAAATTTGGTCCCTACATACTTTCATTTTAGTCCCTGCTTTTCTCTCTAATTCTAATTATTCCAAATTTCTCATGAATCTTCCCAAACTTTAATATCTAAGTTTATTTGATGATTTTCAGTTACGCAATTTCACTAAATTTAATTGATAGCTAAACTCATCATCAGCTGATTTATCTTTGTGGGTAATTTTTTACTTCAAAATATGTAAATTGCTGGATGAAGCAAGTGCAATCAAAATTTTGTGACCGTTTCAACTTTAAATTAACCTTTGTGATTATTATTCAATTGAAAGTTAACTAAATTAAATGTTGCTTGATTTCCCAAAGGATCAAAGACCACTAGACTCCAAAGTGAAAACAGAAAACAAGCCAAACTGGCACCCAAAGAGAGGAAAGAGTCACCTAAGAAAGGGATAGCTAGTGCCCAAAGTGTCTGGTACATCAAAAACACCAACTTTTAAAAGAAGAATGCTGCTTAATTTCCAAGAGTGACTTCTTTTTATCTTAATTTGTTGTTCTCCAATTTGGATTTGTTTGTAACAAGGTTGCATAGTGTTCATCATGAGATGTTTGTGCAAGTTGCGGATTTTATCAAGTCATAGAACTATCTTCTCTCATTAAGAGTTTATCTCAAACTTAATTTCTATTTGTTAGCTATTTAGTCTCAGCCATGGGCCGTGCATATGTGCACATCTATGTGATTCTTTCTTTTAAATTTCTATTTATTAGAGAGATCATGATTCCTTTTCTGATATATCTTAGGATTTGATTTAGACTCCTAGAATCTCGGCCTGATCCTAGTATCTGGCCTAATCCCTAAAATCTCAGCCTAATCACCTCATTCATTGAGGGAATTGTGTCTATTTAAGTCTGCTATTCTATTCGAATAAAGTACAGCTTCAAAATCATTAGATTCTTCATGGTATCAGAGCAGAAATGATCCAGTTTGGAATGGGCTTCAACAATGATAGCCAAAACAACCCTAGGGTTTCCGTAAGCAGCCAAGCAGGGCCAATGGCAACAGCGACTGGTTCTACCAGCCACCAGAATTCAATCAGATTGATGGCAACAGCAACTGGTTCTACCAGCCACCAAAACACAACCGAGTCAAGCCCTACATCTATCACAATTCATCAACTCAACTGTGAAAATTATATGCAATGGTCATCTAGTGTTCGGTTATATATTATGGGCAAAGGCAAATATGGATACTTCATTGGTTCTGTCCAGAATCCAGCTAAAGGTGATTAAAAGTATCCTACTTGGGAAGCTGAAAATTCCATGGAGCAAGCCTGGTTGATAAACTCCATGACAATTGAAATCAATGCTCACTTCACATTTTCCAGACTGCAAAAGAAGTTTGGGATGCTGCAAGGGACATGTTCGTTGCACTGAAGAACAAAACTGTCATTCTGGAAATAGAAAGAAGATTTCTTCATGATTTCAAAAAGGGAAGTCTTTCTATAACTCAGTACTACACTAACCTAGTTGGCTAGTCATTCAATGGCAATAACTGGACATGTATGAATCCTATGATTGGAAGTGTACAGGAGATGCAGCTCTCTATGCAAAGATAAAAGAATAGAAAAGGGTCTTTAAGTTTTTACTCGGATTGGATGACAGCTTTGAAGAAGTCTGAGGAAGAATAATGGGACTCGACACATTGCCATCTCTAAGGGAAGTATTCTTCACTGTTAGGAATGAAGAAAGCAGAAAAAGACTTACTTCCACTGAATTGAGGAATGAACCAAGTCAACCGAATGCCTATGTCAAAAGGGGGTCCTCAAGATGACTCCAGAAAACAGAGCAAGTGGTGTGACCATTGCAGAAAAAGAGGCCACACTAGAGAGGTGTGTTAGAAACTACATGGGAAACCTTTAAAAAGGGGGAGACAGGATGGCCGAGGCTTTGTTGGAACAACTGATAACAAGAATGAACCAGAATTCAACAAAGAACTGAATCTACTCAGAAAATTCCTGGAAAAAGATGATGCCCGGGGAACAATCCTTGTTGCAAGTTATGTTGCCCACACAGGTAAAACTATATTAGCACTAAAAGCTGACATACATCATTCAAGACTCTGGATTGTGGATTCAGGTGCAACAGATCATATGATTGGGAACAGAGAACTTTTGACCAAAATAAGACCACGTACCATAAATATCTATGTAAAAGTAGCTGATGGTAAAGCCCTAAAGGTTGAGGGCCTTGGAATTGCATATATAACCCCAGAAATAATTCTACATAATGTCTTTTATACCCCTGGATTGAAATGCAATCTACTTTCTATAATTACTATTACTCAAAATCAGAACTGTGATGTTCATTTCACTGCTACTCAATGTGTGTTTCAGGATCTGAAGCGAGGGGAGATGATTAGCACAGCTAAGATCCTAGAAAACCTCTACTGTTTGGAAGTTCAAGAGAATCAACACAAAGGAAATATCATCAATTCTGTGACACATTCCTCTGTTTTTTCCGCTACTTTAGAAAATAAAATGCTTTGTTATGGCATTATAGACTAGGGCATCCTCATTTTCATTATTTGTCCAAGTTATTTCCTCAATTTTCAAATAAGAATGATTTATCCTTCATGTGTGAAGTCTGTCAGCTCTCAAAACAAACCAAAGCAACTTATAAACCTCGCTCACATCAATACACAAAGCCTGTTAATCTCATTCACAGTGACATATGGGGGCCATCTCGCCTACCTTCTCTCACTCATGCTAAATGGTTTGTTACATTCATTGATGATCACACACGACTTACCTCGGGGTTCCTAATGAAAGAAAAATCTGACCTACTTGCTACTTTCATCAAATTTCACAGAATGATCCTAACTTAATTTCAAACTCAAATTCTTATCCTGAGAAGTGATAATGGACGAGAGTACATGTGCCAAACCCTATAGAAATACCTTCAGGAACACGAGATTATTCATCAAACTAGTTGTGTTGACACCCCAAAGCAGAATGGGACTGCTGAACGCAAGAACTGTCACTTATTAGAGGTTACCAGATCTCTTATGTTTACACATAATGTCCCTAAACAGTATTAGGGAGAAGCTCTCCTCACTGCTGTTCATTTGATCAACTGACTCCCATCCAAAACCCTTGGTTTCCAAACCCCAATAAACCTTCTCACCAAAGCCTATCCCCCCAACTCCCTTACCCGTGACCTTCCCCTGCGAGTTTTTGGATGTGTAGCATATATTTATCACAACCATGGAAGTAAACTTGACCCAAAAGCCCTAAAGTGCATCTTTTTAGGCTATTCTTCTACCCAGCAGGGGTATAAATGCTACTCTCCATCCCTGCGTAAGTTCCTTGTCACTATGGATGTTCAATTTGATGAGACCCAAGCCTACTATCCAAAATCTCCCATTCAGGGGGAGACTTTCAGAGAATGGGAGCTTTTACACCCACAACACACCCAACCTACCATACCTACCAGTGCTGCAACACTAGAAATAGACACTTCCACACCAGAACCAGAAGTTCCTACACTTGACACACCCACAACAGAACCCGAAATGCCCCTAACAGCACCTCCTACACCTGTACCTGATCCTCAACAGCATTCTGTATGTCCAGAAACAGACTTTAACACTGGTTCTACTCCACCCAAAACCAACCTAAATACACTTAACCCTAGCATGATGCCTAACAATGCAGTACGGGACAGTGATGATGACCAAACAGATGCAGATTTTGATAAGGAGAATAAGGCAAACAGTAGAGGCTCTTGAGGTTCTGGGCAAAGCCAAGAATCAACCCAACCTGATGATCTTAGATGGCCCATTGCACTTAGAAAAGAGGTAAGGAAGTGTACTCAACACCCTATTAGCCATTTTGTATCCTATGATAAGCTATCATCATGCATGAGGAATTTTGTTACTAGCATTGACAGGGACCCAGAACTTTTGATGAAGCTGCTAGGGATCCTAGGTGGAAGGCAGCTATAGATGAGGAGCTGCGAGCACTTGATAAAAATCAGACTTGGAAGATTGTCAGCCTCCCACATGGAAAGAAGACAGTGGAGTGCAAATGGGTCTTCACTATTAAATATAACCCAAATGGGTCTATAAGCAAGTTTAAAGCTTGACTAGTGGCTAAAGGTTTTTCTCAAATAGAGGGGATTGATTATCAAGAAACATTTGCACTAGTGGCGAAACTAAACACTATAAGAATAATGTTGTCCTTAGCAGCCAACCTTGATTGGCCCCTTCACCAACTTGATGTTAAGAATGCTTTCCTAAATGGGGATCTCAAGAAAGAAGTGTATATGAGAGTTCCTGAGGACTAGCAGAACATGGAAACCTGAAAGCTGCATGCAGACTGTATAAATCCCTTTACGGTCTCAAACAGTCTCCAAGGGCATGGTTCGAAAGATTCACCAAAGTAGTGAAGAAATATGGTTATATGCAGTGCCAGTCAGATCATATATTATTTGTCCAACATTCAGAAAGAAAAGTGTAGGTGTTTTAGTGCGGAAATTATATATATTATTCATGAAACCATCGCTGTACATTTATAGGCACTGATCCTTGACTAGTTCGGATACAAAGAATCGAAAAAGGATAATGAAAGATAATAATCAGATAAATTCTAAAGATATGAGCCGAGATCTTAGGAACTAAAGAAACAACTGGATAATGAAGTAAAACTGAATGGTAAAACTAAGTGGGCTCTTGTCCGGCCCATTCCAATACTCCCCCTCAAGTTGGCGAATAGATGTCTATCATTCCCAACTTGCCTCTGAATGCTTCGAACAATGGTCTTGGCAATGCTTTGGTAAACAGATCTCCCACTTGACAGTGAGAAGGCACATGGGAAATCTCTATGATCCCTGAATCTTCTTTCTCTTTGATAAAATGCTTGTCAATGTCTACATGCTTCGTCCTTTCATGATGAATAGGATTTCTTACCATCCCAATGGCTGACAAACTATCACTCTTTAGTTGTATAGGGCTAGTTGGAGTAAGTCTCAGTTCCTTTAGAACTCGTATTATCCAGAGACCTTCACACACGCCATGAGCTATTGCTCTCAGTTCGGCTTCTGCACTGCTCCTGGATACCACTGTTTGCTTTTTGCTCCTCCAAGTCACAAGATTCCCCCAGACCATAGTGCAATACCCTGAGGTTGACCTTCTGTCCGGTAGAAAACCTCCATGATCTGCATCTATATATACAATAATCTCTCTGGATTCTCCTTTGGCAAAGAACAATCCTCGACCAGGAGTCATTTTGAGATAGTGCAATATTCTATACACAGCATTCATATGTTCTTCCAAGGGTTCATTGGTGAACCGGCTTACTACTCCTACCGCATAGCTTATGTCTGGGCGAGTGTGGGAAAGATATAGTAGTTTACCTACTAACCGTTTGTACCTTTCAGCATCCACAGGTGTTTGGTCCCTCTTTGGTTTGGCTTTTCTCTCTTTTTCCTTGTCACGAGAGATTTCTTCCTCTTCTTCTTTATTATCCAATCTTTTGGTTGGTTCCATTGGTGTGTCTACTGGTTTTGCACCCGTCATACCAGTTTCTTTTAGCAAATCTAGAGTGTACTTTCATTGAGAGACTACTATACCTTTCTTTGAACGGGCTACCTCCATACCTAGGAAGTATCTCAATCCTCCTAGGTCTTTTACTTCAAATTCCCTCTCAAGAGACTTCTTGAGCTTTGTTATTTCCAATGCGTCATCACCTGTTAAGATGATATCATCAACATATACAATTAAGATGGCCATTTTACCTCTTGAATGTTTGACAAATAGTGTATGATCCGCTTGACACTGAGTAAATCCAACTCCTTTTACTGCTCTGGTGAATTTCTCAAACCATGCCCTTGGTGATTGTTTTAAACCATAAAGTGATTTGTGAAGTCTACAAGCCATTCCTGGCTTTCCCCTATCCGGCAGTCCTTGCGGAACTTCCATATAAACTTCCTCTTCTAAGTCACCATTCAAGAAGGCATTCTTCACGTCGAGTTGATGGAGAGGCCAATCCAAATTGGCTGCTAATGATAAAAGTACTCGAATGGTATTGAGTTTAGCAACAGGAGCAAATGTTTCTTGGTAGTCTATGCCATAAGTCTGAGAGTACCCTTTCGCCACAAGTCTAGCCTTGTATTTGTTAATTGAGCCATCTGGATTGTACTTCTTTGTAAAGACCCATTTACATCCCACTGTCTTCTTACCGCTAGGCAACTCAGTGACCTGCCATGTCTGGTTTTTATATAGTGCATTTAGTTCTTCTTCAATAGCCTTTTTCCAATGGGGATCACAGATTGCATTATCAAAGTCGGTTGGTAGCTGTTCATTATCCAATCTAGTAACAAAGCTTTGTAACGTAGTAGATAATTTTTCATAAGATACAAAATAGCTAATGGAATGCTTAGTGCACCTTCTTACCCCTTTTCTCAAGGCAATGGGCCACCCAAGATCATCAGGATTTGGAGCTGAGGTTGAAGAGTGACGTTGCTCAATACTAGAGGTGTTGACATGCTCACGTTCTTCATTGTCCTGTATTCTTTCCTCCTGAGTTTCCTGTTCATTTTCTGTTTCTGTTTCCATGTTTAAATCGGGTATAGGTTGAAGGGTAGAGTTGGGAGTCTGATCTGAAATAACAGGTTCAGGTTCATGTTCTGGGATGACAGGTTGGTTATTGGATTCAGATTGAAGTACCGGTGTCATAACTGACTCAACAAACTCCCATTCTTGTCCTTTCTCCCCCTGAATGGGTGTTTTAGGGTAGTAGTTTTGGTGCTCAGCAAAGGTAACATCCATGGTGACATAGAATTTTTTCTGGGTTGGAGAGTAGCATTTATACCCCTTTTTGGAGTTTGAGTACCCTAAGAAGATGCATTTGTGGGCTCTAGGTTCTAACTTTCCACCTCCTATATTATGAACATAGGCAACACAACCAAATATTTTCTGTGGAAGGGAATGAAATAGGTGAGGTGTGGGGTAGGTTTCGGTGAAAAATTGGATTGGAGTTTTAAAACCCAAGGTTCGTGAAGGTAGCCGATTAATCAAGTAGGCTGCTGCAAGAATGGCTTCTCCCCAGTAGAATGTTGGAACATTTGTGGTGAGCATAATGGCTCTAGTGACCTCTAAGAGGTGCCTATTTTTTCTTTCAGCTGTCCCATTTTGTTGTGGGGAGTATACACAGCTAGTTTGGTGAATAATGCCATGTTGCTCAAGATATGATCTAAGGATAGAATTGGTGTATTCTGTGCCATTATCACTACGTAGAATTTTCATGGAGGCATTAAATTGATTCTGTATCATTTTATGAAAGCTTTGGAACGTTTGGGTTAGGTCTGATTTTTCCTTGAGTAAGTATACCCATGTCATTCGTGTGTGATCATCTATAAATGTGACAAACCACTTTGTTTGGGTCAAATTTGAAATTCGTGAAGGTCCCCATAAGTCACTGTGTATGAGTGAAAAAGGCTGGGAATATTCATGTGAATGAGGAGAGTAAACACTTCTTGTATGTTTTGACAACTGGCAAATTTCACAGGAAATAGAAGTAGAAATTTTATTTCTTAATTCAGGAAACAATCTTGACATGTATTGAAAATTTGGATGGCCTAACCTATAGTGCCATAACAACAATTCTTCCTTGGGAATTTTAACAGGCAGGTTATGAGTGGTAGATTGAAGTGCCCTTTTTTCTTTCCATGCTCCTTCTTGAACACAGTACAGCCCCTCTAGTATTTTAGCTTTGCCAATCATCTTCCCCAACTCCAAGTCCTGAAATACACAAATAGTAGCAGAGAAGTTAACATGGCAGCATTGTGTGAGGGTAGTTTTGCTGACAGAAATAAGACTACACATTAAATCAGGGGCATATAATACTCTTTCAAGAACCAGACAACCAAATAGACAAGTTTCTCCTATTCCATGTACTTTAATAAATTTTTCATCAGCAACCTTAATGAACATAGGCACTTGACACGGTTGTAGGTTGTGGATTAAATGGATATTACCAGTCATATGATCAGTGGCTCCTGAATCAACTATCCACATATCCCTTTTATGAACCGAGTTTTTAAGTGCCAAGACAGCATTACCTGTATAGGCTATATTACCCGTTGCTACCAAGGCATTGTGAGTCTCGTGCTTGTCTAGTAATTTCCGAAGAAAGTCAATTTCTTCCCTGCTCAATTTGTCATCACATTCGATTTTTGATTCTCTGTTAGTTGTGTAGGCCCTGTTTTCTTGCTTTCCTCTGCCCTTTACATTCGGTGGCTTGCCATGGAGCTTCCAGCAAATGTCTTTCGTATGTCCCGACCTCTGACAGTGATCACACCACCGACCACTCTTCTTATTCTTATTCTCTCCAGGGGTTCCCCCTTTGGAGAAAAAGGCTCCAGGTTCCCCATCGTTTAAGGTAGGCATCTTTGGAGAGGAGAGCTTCTGCCTTGTTTCTTCCTGTTTTATCATAAAGAATACCTCTCGGATGCTTGGGAGGGGCTCTTGGCTCATAATTCGTCCACGAGCTGCATCAAACGAGGAGTTAAGGCCAAGTAAGAACCTGTAGATTCTTTTTTCTTCTTTTATCTTGGCGTACAGAGTAGCGTCGGTAGAGCATGACCAATCATATACCTCGTATGAGTCCAATTGCTGCCATAGAACTAGAAGGTTGGTCCAGTATTCCGTAACGGTAAGGTTGCCGAGCTTGAGATTATCAAGATTAGTCTCTATCTCAAGGATTGCGGCTCGATTATTCATAGAGGCAAACATATCTCGAGCCGCGTCCCAGACTTCTTTGGCAGATTGAAATAACGAGAAGCTGGCGCTTATCTCTGTAGTCATGGAATTCACGAGCCAGCACTGAACCATAGAGTTCTCTGCCTCCCATTCGGCGTATCTTTTCTCATCTGATATTGGCGGTCTGGTTTGTTTCCCGGTCAAGAAGTCCAGTTTTCCTTTTCCGGTGACATATAGTCGAACACCGTTGGCCCACTGTAAATAATTCTGGCCATTGAGGCGATGAATGGTTATCGCCGAGGTCTGGGTTTCCGGTGACACTTGATGGTTCGTCGTCGAATTCCCTGTCGTTGATGAATTTAGCGCCGAAGAGAGCGACGCGCCTTGGATCGGTGGATCCAACCCGTAGCCGAATCGAATCATCGTGGGTACCACCGCTCTGATACCATGTAGGTGTTTTAGTGCGGAAATTATATATATTATTCATGAAACCATCGCTGTACATTTATAGGCACTGATCCTTGACTAGTTCGGATACAAAGAATCGAAAAAGGATAATGAAAGATAATAATCAGATAAATTCTAAAGATATGAGCCGAGATCTTAGGAACTAAAGAAACAACTGGATAATGAAGTAAAACTGAATGGTAAAACTAAGTGGGCTCTCGTCCGGCCCATTCCAATAAAAAGTGTCTATCCTAATTGTGTATATAGATGACATTGTTATAACCGGAAATGACAGCGACGAAATAGCAAGATTAAAGAAGATTTTGGCAACAGAATTTGAGGTGAAAGACTTGGGGAGTCTAAGGTATTTTCTTGGAATGGAGATTGCCAGATCAAACAAAGGGATCTCAGTGTTACAAAGAAAGTACACGCTAGACCTACTTAAAAAAAAATGGCATGTTGGGAGCTAAACCATCATCAACACCTATGGATCCCTTTGTCAACCTTGAATACAAAAAGGATGGTGTACCAGTTGATGCAGAAAGGTACAAACGATTGGTAGGAAAACTTATCTACCTATCACATACAAGACCAGATATTAGCTATGCAGTAGGAGCAATATATAATATCCTTAGATACTTGAAAATGACACCTAGAAGAGGAGTTTTCTTCAAAAAGGGAGCGTCAAAAGACATAATAGTATATACAGATGCAGACCATGGAAGATCCCTTGTTGATAGAAGGTCAACAGGGGCGTACTTTACATTTTTTTGGTGTAATTTGGTAACTTGGAGGAGCAAAAAGTAAACTATGGTTTCTAGAAGCAGTGCAGAAGCTGAGTTAAGGGCACTAGCTAATGGTGTTTGTAAAGGAATGTGGATCATACTATGTCCTAAAAGAAATCAGAATCGGTGTTAATACACCAATTAAGTTATGGTGTGACAGCATGTCAGCACTACAAATGGTTCATAACCCTGTGCACCACGATAGAACAAAGCATGTTGATATTGATCAGCATCAAAAATCATTGACCTATCTCATAATCCTTACAAAGCCACTAGATCGAGGCAAGTTCGAAAAATTTAGAGACAAGCTGGGAATGTTTGACATCTGCATTCCAGCTTGAGGGGGAGTGTTGGTTATTCAGTCTCTATTGGGCCATGGGCCGTGCAGATGTGCAAATCTGTGTGATTCTTTCTTTTAAATTTCTGTTTATTAGAGAGATCATGATTCCTTTCCTGATATATCTTAGGATTTGATTTAGACTCCTAGAATCTCAGCCTGATCCTAGTATCTCGCCTAATCCCTAAAATCTCGGCCTAATCACCTTATTCGTTGAGGGAATTGTATCTATTTAAGTCTACTATTCTATTCGAATAAAGTACAGCTTCAGAATCATTAGATTCTTCACTATTTTTCCAAAACTATAAGTAGAGAAGGAAAGGTCTACCACCAAAAACGTGTTTGTGCCATTCTTCTCACTCATCATATTTCAGTGATGAGCTGCATTGTTCATGGTTTATAAGTAGCTTCACTTTAAAAAAAAAAATTATATTATATAATATAATAAACACTTAACTTCAGGTCAAAAAAATAGCACTTAATTATGAGCAGTTTATTACATCAAAAGCGATTAATGAAGTAGGCAAGCAGCAAGAACCAACAGAATTAAGAAAAGTTCCCCCACACCATCTATAGCATTTTTGGACATGTTTACCTTGATTTGGAGCCCATGTTTACCTTGATCTGGGCAAACATGGTTTCATGGTGTTCTCATTATGAAACCAAACTCACCTTGAAGTGTATCTTTCTGGGTTATTCTCTCACTCAACAGAGTTATCGATGCCATCATCCCCCTACACACAAATATCTTGTCTCTTCGATGTTTCTTTTAATGAGAAGCAATATTGCCTTCCCCAAATTCCCATTCAAGGATCTTAGCAGTTGTAATCACGAATGGCCATTTGATGAGGTTTCGATAACAACCGAATCATCACTGGCCAACCCTATGTTAAGTCATCATTTTTTAAACCACTCATTGTACCAAAAACCTTGAAAATTAACCCAGAACAGGTTGCTACTAATGGGAAAATGAGTTGAATGTTAATGATGCACCTGAGGATCAAAATCCAAATATGAAAGAACAACAAACAGATCGAGAATCCAGAGATGAAGAATCAAATATTTCATGCCAATCATCCAACCCAGCCTCAAATTCTACACATGATGACCTTCGTTGGCCTATTGCCTTGCGAAAAGGGGTCAGATCCTTTACTCTTAAGCATCCTCTTTTAAAGGCTTTTTCAACTAGAATCTCATATGATGATATTCCAACAACTGTTAATGAAGCTTTGGAATTTCCTAAATGGAGGAAAGCCATTCATGAAGAAAGGAATGCACTAGCAAAGAATGACACATGGGAGTTAAACAAGCTTCTCAAAAGTAAATTTATGATAGGATGTAAATAGATATTAACTAAGAAGTATCACCTTAATGGAACTCTGAACAGATACAAGGCTAGATTGGTGGCCAAGGGATTTATTCAGTAATATAGAATTGATTATCACAAAACCTTTGCCCCCAATAGCAAAGTTCAATACTATCAAGGTGCTCCTCTCACTAGCAACTAACTGTGGTTGGTCACTAAATAAACTTGATGTGAAAAATACCTTCCCTAATGGTGATCTTGAGAACGAAAGCTGCATGGACATTTCTCTAGGATTCAAACTCTATGGTCTTAAACAAGTTCCATGAGCTTGTTTTAAATAGTTTTACAAGTGTTGTTAAGAAGAAAGGTTATAATCAGTGTCTAGCAAATCATACCCTCGTTGTCAAACATAACAATGGAAAATTGGCTATTCTAATAGTTTGTGTTGATGATATTATTATCACAGGTGATGATGCTTATGAGCTAGAAAGCTTAAAGAAACTACTAGCTAGGGAATTTGAGGCAAAAGACCTGGTTCATTGCAATACGTTATAGGTATGGAAGTTGCAAGATCCAAGAATGGTATTGTTGTTTCCCAAAGTATACACTTGACTTGTTGAAGGAAACAAGTATGACAGGAAGCCGGCTAGCATCTGCACCTATTGAAACTAATCTCAAGCTAGGAATAAGGCCAAATTATCATCTTGTTGATAAGGGGAGGTACCAACGTTTAGTTGGTAAGTTCATTTACTTAACTCGCATAAGGCCAAATATTTCATATGCAATATGAGTGAATGGTAAGTCAATTCTCAAACAATCCTAATAAGGATCATATGACAGCAATCTATAAAATATTACATCATCTAAAGTCCACACTAGGAAAGGGCTATTCTTTGGGAAAACAAATCATAGAGGAATAGAGATCTACTCAGATGCTGACTAGACCAGATCAATAGTAGATAGGAGATTTACCACAGGTTACTATTCATTTGTTTAGGGAAACTTAGTCACATGGAGAAGCAAGAAACAATTAGTTGTTTCACGAAGCAGTGCAAAAGCTGAATTAAGAATGGCTCAAGGAATATGTGAGGGCATGTGGCTTGAAAGGGTTCTTAAGAAGCTAAAAATTGCTCATGATGGCCCAATGAAAGTGTTTTGTGATAATACAGCTACTATAAAGATTGTAAATAATTCAGTTCATCATGACAAGATGAAACATGTTGAGATAGATCGACATTTTATCAAAGAGGATTGAAAAGGAGACTATTAATGTCATACACATTAGTCGAGTCAACAAGTTGCACTAAAGCTCTATGAACTGCAAAGTTTGAAGGCTTCACTTACAAGTTGAGAATGATAAACATCTATTTGCCAACTTGAGGGAAAGTGTTAAAAGACAAAGCCCAAGCCCACTTAGAGGAGCCCAGATTAGTTAGATTATTATTCAGTGTTTGTTATTAATGTTTTATTTAGATTAGAATTAGTTAGATTTGATAGGATTTAATTTTATCTCAATTTAAATTTCAAGATATTAGATTTTATCCTTTGCTTTTCTATATGTATTGGACAATCTCATTGAATAAACTATGAAGCTAAGCATCAATTACTCAGCCAATTCTTCTCTTTAATTTCTTCACCTTTAATAAATATATCAAATAGGTAACTCCAAAAGTAAATAGACTCTCACACATCAGCCCTTTTTCTTCAGAAATTTATGGTTAGCTATTTCAACAAAAGTATTGCTTGTCAGATAGGCATAAGCATTTATTGTCTGTGCATTTTTTCAGTATCAGCAATCTGACAACCCAGAATTGAATACAACAAAGAACAAAAAGTGCATGGCAATTTTCAACGAGTTAAAAATTCTTTACATAAATAGAGAAATAACAAATTACCATGCTTGTGTGCTGCATGCTCCTTCTCCACAAGGTCTGATAAATATTCAGTGCCAATTATATGGCCATGACTGTTCAGGCGAAGCTGCAGCAACTCCAAACTAGTTAATGCAATGATAAGTGAAAAGACGTTTGGGGGAAGAAAGATGATGAAGATAAAAACAGAGGATAAGAAATCCCAACAAGACAACCACAAAAATAAAGAAAAGAAGACAAGGGGGAAAAACAAAGTTTAACAAGACTCCAGTCCTGCCATAATTCATCTAAAGAAACTGAAACCCAAAACATAAGTAATTATTAATAATTATACTTAACAACTAAGAGAGTTTGAGCACCTGAAACGGCTGTAATCATCATTACACACTCTAAAACCGTTCATAGTAAGAAGTTCATAACCAACATCAAGTGGCTAGGTAGTTGTTTCTCAGTTTTTAACACCATGTAAACAATTAAGCTATGAAGCAAAGGCCTTCCAAAAGTCAAGGAGTAGGGGAGTAAATTAAGCATGGTGAAATACTGATGAGCCTAGAACTAAGATGAGGGCAGTGTATGGTAGAAGGAGGCCCAAACCAAGCCAGAGCAACCAGCCACATTGGGCCCAAAGGCAGCTCAGACCCAGCCCAATGATCATCCCAATTACTTTTCTAGGGTTGGGTGCGTAAGGGAGGCAGACAAGCAGCATGTGGATGGGTTAGGAGGGCTGCTGACCTCAAGAATTTCAGGGGAGACCTTACCTTTACTGTTTATCAATCATATAGTCTTTTATCACTGTTTGCGGTCATTCCTATTTTCCCAAAATAGTAGCTTGGAACTCCAGTCCATTGTCACATTTTTTCCCTCTTCCTTACCTCATTAAGGGGGCTGTACTGTTGAATCCTAGTTATTCGGTAATAAAACAGTGAGTTCCACCAAATACATAACCCATACGCATCAGTTTCCAAGACCACTAGTTTTTATCGTTCACCTTCATTTAATCCTCTGTTTCTGCATTTTGTTCCCTCTAAAGTTCTGTCTTTTCTTCTTTGGCAAGACCATCACTTTGTTGTTCACTTATCCAGTTAACCATTGAAGGTTCACAGTGCCTTCTTTCTAAATATCACACTTCCTGTCAAAATTTTCTCACTATAATGGTGGCTAACTTTCTGTTTAGTTGAAGAGTTGGTGAGTGCCCTTATATGGTGTATTTGGGAGCTGATTAATAGGCATATTGAGGGACTTTGACCGATTAAGGTGATTTTGATGCAGACCTCATATTTTAATTTTAAATTATATAATATTTAGAGTCAATGTTCACCCAAAAACAGAAGAAAAAAGAGGGGTCATAAATTGTCTCATGCTAGTGATAATCACAATAGTTTTCCTTTAAAGGGAAGGGATAATTGCTATAGTTATAGCTGAATCAATAATATTTGTTAGATATTATAATTTTGAATATTCCTTTTTATTTAACTCAACAATATCCTTGTTTTAGTATTTCCATTCCTACATTATAAGAACCTAGATGAGCAATACATTTATGTCGGTGCAATCAAATTATTATGTTGGTTGATTATGCATTGCAAAATGTTACTTATTTACAATTATCATCTGTGTTCAGATATCCCCAAACTATGATGATGAATTTGAACAAAAATATTAAATTTCAAATGATTGGGATCAGCTAAACGAACCTATATAATCACCAAAGGAATAGGTCTGAATATTCTTCAACAGTATTTCTTATTAAGCACTGCAATTTCATCTACAGTTCCAGCAACATATTTTATAAACCAAGGTTTCCATTTGTTGAACCTAGTTCTCTCTGATTTTCTTACCATTTTGAACTTGATTCACCACTGTCCACAGTGGAATACTTGATAGTTACATGCATACGTGAAGCATGTGATTCTCCATGGATAGTCATATTTTTTCCTTATCAGCAGTAGTCCAGCAGAACAAGAGCTTACCAATGTATGGTTAGACAATCTTATGAAAACAGCTTATTAGGCAATTCCACTTGATTCTGATGAACTTAAATCTACATTTAGTAAATACAATATTTGGAAAAGAACATAATGCTATTTCACATTTACACTGTTTCCGATTTGAAACAGGCTTATCAGATGAGAAATTATCTCACTCATGACGGGAAAAATAGTATGTCCCTCTTCTTCAATCTAACCTAGCGATAACTTCATATTGATAATTTTATTTCCAGCATGATAATGCATTTTTCATTCATATAGTGTTTGGCTTTCACAATAAAGTTGGAAGTATCAGATTAACAATTAATGAGATATCCCAAATGAAAAAGATATTTCAGATTTGGGGTATCATTGGGGTGAAACTGAATGCATAATAAATAAACAAAAAGTGACGCATTATTAGAGTCATTGGGGTATTAGGCTGGCGGCAAAAGTTTATATAATCTGCATCATCTTGTTAGCTAATAATGGAAAACTCTACATTGACAAATCTTAATCATCATCATGTCTAAACAGAAGGAATTAGACCAGGACTTGATCAGAGGCTTGATTCTGGAATCATTGGCCTGCCTCAACACCTACCCAATGCCAAGTAGCAGATATCCTCACAAAGCTTTATCTAGAGTGAAGTTTGAAGATTAGAGAGACAAGCTGAGAATGCTAAACATCACTATCCTGCTTGAAAGGGAGTGATGTTAGGCATCACATGATAAAATTCTAAAAGATGTTCTGTTACTAAGGTTATTGAAATATCTTTGTTATCATTTTCTGCGTATTGTTATTCTGTTTTGCATCATGGTCCTATATCTTTGGGATTATAATCCAATTCCATAAGCCTTGTATCTCTATTTATTTCTTGAATTCTAGAAAATTGAAAGACATAAGAGAAGAACAGAGATAGTCAACTCTCTGGTATTTCACCAAACAAAATCATCAATAGCAATGCATCTGTTTGACCTATTCATTATGTCATAGAGGGACTCAGGGAGTCCATAATTCCTCAACATGGAAAGAATTTGACCAAATAAAACAATGAACCTGATTCAAGGAATTGATGATGTATTAAAAACGACATGTTATGACCAACAGACTGCCTTACTTTCCATATATTTGTGTCCAGATCCACTTCATGCTTGCCTGACATATCAATGGCATCTACACTCAAGACTGCCCACAGTAATAAAAAATATGTTCAGAATCTTCACTATGATAAAGGAATAAGACATTATGTATAAAACACAGATCAAAAAGAAACACGTGGGAACTTCAAGAAGAATAAAGGACCATGCTAACCATCACAAGGTAAAGAAGGAAATGTCATATTTATGTGAATTGGAAGAGTTTCCCCACGCTTCAGGTCTACTGACATCTGCAAAAGATGATAATAATTGAAAAGGTTATTTTCATATAACTTGAGTGGTCTTTGTTCAAAAGCAAAATATATATATATATGTGTATATGTATATAACTTGAGTGATCAACCAAGTGAAAACTACCCCAACAAACAAAGAGGTTCAACAGACAGGTAGGACTAGGCTATCGTCATGGGCTCTATGGAAAGTTTTGGCCGAAGAGAAGAAAACATAATACCTCAATAGGGGACACATGTAATCATCTCAAAGTAATCAAATAACTAGCTGAAAGCTCCCAGGAAGGCGAAGAAAATAGTCATTTCCAAAGAAAATTTGTTGTCAAAATCCTTTTAGAGACTCCTGCATGCTATTCTAACCAAAGACAAAAGACATGCCTTCAAAACCAGAGAACTACAAAAGGGTTTCACATGTCTTAACGCTCCCAGAACCCTTGAAGTTAATAGGTAAAACAAATATCTAAAGTTTACCATCCAAACGCACTGCTATTAGAGATGCCAAATACTGTATTCCATATACTTCGATCCAGCAAAGCACTAGCATGGAACTAGCAAAGAATTTCCAAAAGCATATAAAAATATTAGCATTAACCTTGCAGCTGGGTATCAAGGCTTTCCATCCTAGATTATATCAAGCCTGCTGGAGCTTCCCACACAACATTCAATGAGCAGTTCTTACTAGTCATTATTTACTTACTATTCAATGCAGAAAACTTAGATAGGAAAGAGTTACGAAATTTCAATCCTCAAAATTTGCCACTGTTTAGAATGTCCTAGCACCTTTTGTCACTTTACTTCCTAGACAGGAGCATATAAGTTATTAGAAGTTTGAAACTTTACAGAGTGTTTAATTTTGAAAATTTAGAAGAGCTGAATGCTTCAAGAAAAGTCTATTATTAACAAGCGCATGAACATAAATTGAGATGTGTTGACTTAACTCCTTCCCCATGTAAAATAAGTCTGGAAGAGAGAACCTGGGGGAAAAATTAAAGTAATAAGAAAGAATGCAAACCTGATGGACTGTGTATGTTGTAAGATAATAACCCAGTTCGTGAAGAAACAATGTGGCCATTATGATTAGACCAATTATAGAGACTGCAGAAAGAGGAAGCGAAAAAGATGAAGCAACAAAAAGAGCCGCAAACTATTAATTTGATGGACCTTATAAATAGCATTAAGGCTACATATCTTTGACATAGTTCTAACTCCAAAAATCTTCCATTTTCAATAAACTAAGACTTCCTAGATTAAATTGAGAAAAACGAACACAAAGATATATAGCTCCTCGCTACGGCTTTGAAAAAGATAGATGGGCCTGATAAGAGAAAAACATGAAAAGGTTCTTGTATCATACCAAGCGCCCCAGATTTAGTTTTATGCAACAAGTGCTCTTCTGCGCGAGGAAACGCGTCCAGTTTCTTAATGACCTGTCTCACACCCATCTTCACCTTGCTACACAACCCTATTCAAAGCTCAATCCTGTGATACCATATGCGGCATGTGAATAAGGTCATCAAATTTGACCAAAAAAGTTAGGCACACATGCAATAATAATCAATCCGCAATAACAAGGGGACTCTGTTCTGAATGTGAAAGAAGCAAACAAGGGAAACGCTCAATTCCAAAATACTGGAGATTTCTTTGGTGCAAATACGGCGATTACAGCGAAATTGCATCCTACTTATAAAAACGTGATTCACGAGTGAATCGTGGCGTGAAGAATTCTACCCAATACGAAAGTTTTCTAAGAGGCATAAAACTGGTGTGAAGGACATGATCCGTAAAAATGATTTGCGAATTGCGACGAACTGAAAAGGCAAACAAAACAAGAATCTGGTAGAATCATTCAAATGGAGGAAGAGTACCAGAAGCGGAGCCCGGTAAAATCTGCCCGAACCAGCCAACACAAAATTTTGCCTTTGAAGACCCCGGTCCATGATGTTTCTTTTATTTTTCCTTTTCTGTTTGTCATCCTTTTTTTATTTACGGACATTTTCTACCCTCCCGATCTTCTCAGAGATTAATTTATAATGATGGCAATTATTTTATGATTATTATTGCTATTATTATTATTATTATTATTATTATTATTAGATTAAATTATAGAAAACTGCTATAAAAATACCACATCCAGTATTTAATATAAAAGCTAATTGACAATTAAATTTAATTCTAAATATAAGATACTCCTCCGGTCCTTAATATAGGACCCAATTGTTGAGTTGGTTTTGATCCTAAATATAAAACCCATTTCTCATATTTATCAATTTTCTCTAAATTACCCCTATAGATAGTCCATCAACTATAATCAAATAAAAGAAGGAAATGAGGTATTAAGAAAGATGATTATGGTGTTTTAGAAAGATGTGTCACATTTTTTATAATTAACTAACTTACTTAACTTCCTTAATCTAATTAAATTAGTTAAATGGGTCTTATATTAAGGACCGGAGGAGTATTAATCTATTTTATTCCTTAAATTTGTAATTCATTCTTTAAAGCAATCCTATTAATTACACATATTAAGGGGTTTTCATCCAAGTATAGTCATGATTAAAAAAGATACTTTAAAAAAATTAACTCATATTTGTTATAAATGATTAACGTAACTATTTTTTATAGTCTACTCAAATTAGTTTGAGATAATATTACATATAAATAGCTCTCATAACTTTTGAAATTTTACAATAAATTTCTATAAATTTTTACATTTATACAAATAAACCCAAACTATCAATTTTATATATCTTAAATTTTATTTTTTTTAATGCATATAACTCCTAAAACTTTAAGCCATGTGCAGATAAATCTCTTAAACTTTGTGATAAATAATGACAAAAACTAATAATATGAAATTTTATTGATACAAGGGCACAATTCAATAAACTTTATTGTAAAATGTTAGATATTAGAGAAGTTATTTTGATTGCGGGGTTTTGTATGAAATAAAAATATTTAAAAGGTGGAGTCAAACTATTTGCAATACATGAAAGATTATCTAAAATGTAAATAATCACCCCAAACGAACCAATAAACTCCCAATTATTTTAAAGGCTTTTCCTCCTTTAATAAACCCATCATTTTGTTAAATTTTTATTAGTGAGCATATGGCAAGAGGTGTACTGAAATGGTTGTCCAATTACAAGATGCCAAGGGGTTGTTGGAGAGCCAGGGACCCAACACACAGAAAGTGTATAAGCCAAATTGGTTTGATTCCAATATGAATTATTAATTAATAATTAACTAATTATATTATAAAGGTCTAAAACCAACATGTTTGTAACTAGCCAAGACATAATGTGATTGTACTTATTTTAGTTAAAGTGCTAATTTGGATTAGTAATGGAGAATTAATTTTACCCTGTATGAGATAAATACATGAGGATTTTTATCTAATAAAGCATAAAAGCTTTTTTTTTATAAAGTTGACCCAAACAACTTCATATGTGATTATGTGAATCCAATGGTGAATGTTTCATGCGGATGTAACTATAGTCTGGAATGTTTGAGGTAATATGGTTGAATAGTTATTAAAGGGTTATTCTTATGATAATTATTATTAGAAATTATTTAGTATCCTTCTTTATTGTGATTGTTGTGTATTAGATAGTGTTGGCCTTGTCACTTGCATGAGTTTTTGTTTGGTTATCTTAATTTGTGTCTAATATGTTGTATTTGGCTAAGTTTAAATATGTTATCTTTGAGGGGAGTTATTACACAAACCAAGAGGGTTTTTTTTTGCTTTAAGGATTCTTTTTTTTTTTGTTGATAAAATGCTTTAAGGATTCTATAATGTAAGTTAGTAATAACAAATTTAACTATTTTGGCCTTAATGGTAACCCATGCTGTTTAACCCAACTCATAGTAAAAAGAAGGGTTAAAGTGTAAATTTATCTTAAAAGCTTTTACTCAAGAGCATTGGGTATCTAAAACTTTTTTTTTTTGGGGCTCAATATTACCATGAAGTTTTCAAATTATAGCAATGTCGCCATGATCGTTATTTAGGTTAAGTTTGACTGTTACTTAATCAAATATGCTAAGCTGTGTCATATTATGTTAATTTTAACCTGGTAAATGGAGCATTTAAAATTAACTGAGGGCTTGACAATTTAGCACAAACAGAGATGGAACAACTCTTGAAGTGAAACCCAGACAGAAACCAGACTCTCATTTTGAAAAATTCCGGTTAAGGAAAGGCAGCATTGGAAATTATGCACGAAATTTCTAAAAATTTATGAAAATTCATGAAAAATATAGTAAAATATCTAGAATAGCATTTGAGGCCTAAAAGGTAAAAATAATTTATGACAGAATTTTTTTGTAATTATTGGTTTTTTTAAGCTGATTAGGAGAACATTAGCCAAAGTGAATTATTTTAAATATACAAAGGCCTCAATCATTCAGAAAAAATGAGAAAAAAATTAGCTGGAGCTTATAACAGATTTCAAAATTATTTTCAACATCTAAAAATGCAAAGATTAGTTTTTAAAATATTTAAAGTTAAATTATATTGGTAAAAAACTGATTTCGAAAAAATTTGAATGACAAGAGGTACGGGTTGAATTTTGACCTAAAAAAATTGACAAACTTCTCTCAATAAAAGGGTGTTATTGGTACAGAGAAATAAATTTTTAAAGCTATTAGATTGGATAGAATTAAGGAAAATTTAATTGACACGGTGAAATTATATTTTAAAATAATAGAAGTTTGGTGGGACAATTTTCCTCCCATTTTCCTACCATTTTGGGCACCATTTTTGAAGAAAAGGACATGGATGAAATTGTTCTATTTGTTAAGGGGCATAATTGAAAAAGGTTAAATTATAATAAAGTAATGTTTTATAATCACATGGATAATAAGTGGCATGACATATGGCATGATCATGGAAGGGGAAGAAAAGATCATAGACAAAGGAATTATAACATTTTACTAAGGGCAAAGTAGGAAATTCAAGGCCAAAAATTTATCTATAAATATTGCCCATAAGTGATAATTCGGCCAAAATTTGGAAAACTAGAGAAGGAAGGTTTTACTCTTGAGTTGAAGGAAACGAAAGCTAACTTCAAGCAATCATCCAAGGTAAGTTAAGGATTCTTTTAAGAATCTAGTTACCTTGACTAGTGTGTTTCATATTTGATTTGGATAAAGAAAAATGACTAAAAACCCTATGGTAACATGCTGCCTAAAATGCCATATAACTTGATATGAATGGTTAAAAGATGGCATAGGGACTAGAGGATAGACAATGATTAGAAAATTGTGTCGTAACTTGGTTTATGAAAGAATTTCAACTTGTAATATTGGAATATATGTTTCAGTCAGGTTTATGAGACTAGTATTTGATTCAAGTTGATGTGATGCTTCTCATGAGTTTAAAAGATGACATTGTGTAGGATTATGTTGTGAAAATGTGTTTGGAAGTATTAGACTTGAAAATGAAATTTTTGGATCCTAAGACCCTTTGTCTTGGCCAAGCTTGAATTTAGAGGAAAGAGTTGGATTTTGATGAATATATGTTTAAATATGAATTATATATGAAAAATCATGTAGAAAAAGCATGTATACGTAATATTAAAAAAGATGATGCAAAAACCCTAAAATCAAAGATAAAGAAGTAGAGTTTTAGGTTAAGTTTTTAATGAAGTTGTTTGAGATGAAATTTAAAAGCCTTTATTGTGTGATTATTAGGCATTGATCTTGAGCAAAAGGAAACTCAAGAACAAAGAAAAGAAAACAAAAGGCAAGGGTGTGAGCAAGACAGCAAAAACTTACAATTTTAATGTCAACTTGCATTAGTCATTTTGCTATGTGTTTTATGCCATGATGTGGTTGAACTAGCTATAATGTGCTTAACTCCTTGCATTTATGCTTTGACAATATGTATAGTTGAGTTGTCTAATGGTATATTTATGTGCTCTCTTTTCATGACATGATAATGCAAGATAATGCATGAAAATGTTGATTTACATATAGCATTATATGACCTTGCATTGTTGGCATTATAATTGTTGTTCTTTGCTACTAAGATTTCTTTAAAATCTCACCCCATTTTATAACTAATTGACACCATAGGGACTGGCTTATCAAAGGATAAAAGAAAGAATATGAAAGCATGAGGAAACTTGCATGAATTGTCATGTAAAACTGTGCTTGATTATGTTTTGTAATTATGAACTTTGAGTAGAATTTGTAATTTAGGTAAACTTTGATAAAGACTTGTATGGGATAATGCTCCCACCTTTTGAGAGCTATCATTGTGCTTAAGTATATGATTAGATAATGCAATTAAAAAGGTTGGAGTTACTTGAAAACCATGATGTTTTAATGATGACGTTTCTGAACAACTGATGGAATCTAGCTGTGAGATTTGGTGAGCTTAAAGTTCACATCCCAACCTTCAAATAGAGTGGTGGATCATCTAATTTGGAGCTATGTGTTAGAAGTTATGAATTTTTGAAATTATGATAAAAAGCTAAAAAAAATTGACCAAATGAACTGTGGTTTTGACACGAAAAATGGCACCCAATTAGTAAATGTAATTAACAAGTGAGTATTTTTTTTAGTGGAGAGAAATAAATGAGTTTCAAATAAAACTTGGAATCATCTCATTTTGATTTTTTTAGAATTAATTATGAATTTTCAAAGTTTGCTAAAATTTTAGAGCTACCAAATGAATAGTACCCCAAGAAAGTTATTTTTCAAAATTTGGTCTTTTAAGCCTAATGCCATGTAATGTGGTTCCATTTGACATGTTTTGATTCCATATATGGTTATAAAATAAGGTGTTACAGGCTAGCATGGTTATAAACTAGAATGTTACAAGCTGGCAGTCCCACATGGCATGCACTTCACTTTTTTTATGTTAATGTGTAAATTTGTCCCGAAAGTTTTTACTCAAAAGCATTACACTACAAAAAAAACATACTTTTAGCAACAGAATTTAGCGA